TAAAAATAAAAAAAAATAGAATAGAATAGTACTAGAATAGAATATCCAACATAAATGAATGGCCAGGTTGGATGAATTTTTCGTCCAATGGCCTTGTGCATTTATTGAATGATTTTCACAATAAATTTATTTGATTTTTTTTCCCGTGTCCTTGCGCGTAGTCTTAAAATCCAACTTGGAACTCCCCCCACTCGTACCCGTGGGCTCCACACTGCCAATCGGGTCAAAACGCTTGACAGAAAACGACGGAACATTGGAAAAGATGGAACCATGTACAGACACTACAGAGTATATCGTAAGAAATAGGAAATGTCCGTAATGGAATGATGTCAACCAGGTCAACCTTCTGTTATTCAAATCTCATTCATCTTTTTTCTGTTCAAACAACCAAAGCCAAATTGATCTATCGGCCGAAATTAATCAATCTAATGGGGAACCGCATTCCCATCTCTGACTGGTACAGATGTGGTTGCGCTTAATAGCCCGAAATTCGAGATCCATGGAACCCGTAAAAAAAGACCCAACAACAAGAGAGGCGGGTAAAAAAATAGAAGGAAAAAAAAAAGCAAACAAAAGAAAAGTAAAACCAGGGAATTAAAAGTGGAAAAAGAACAACGGACGTTCGACAATGTCAAATGTCTAACAGAAAGCAATCATTCGTGGGGATATCATAACCATCAACAACATCATAGTAAAAACAGGTCCCAATAACAGGAGAGTGGGAAGGGATTTTTTTTTAAAGTCTGGTGGAAGAGGGGGCATCTTCGCCCCTAGGCGCAATTAAGCGACCTGCGCTTAATCAACTGTCATGCCACCCCATGAATCGTCGAATGCCGTGGTTTTGATTGATTAGCTCTGGGCAAACACCCTGACGTGCTTCATGGATGGGATTGGATCCAATTGCGCATTACCGATAGAGATGGATCGTCATTAAGCCAATGGCCTGCGCGCATATCGGCTGCCCGAAGATCAGCCACAACGTATTCATCTGTCACCTGAGCGAGTTCCTGTTCAATTCCAAACCGTCAGTCTCAAGAGCTCTGTGGTGGATTGCATAGAAAAGAACCGACCTGTCGGAATGTATCGTCTACTAGCTCCAACCGACGAGCATGGGTCTGGTCGGGTCTCTGTCCTCGTAGGACATCTTCCCGATTAATAGACCATCTTCTCCCTGCTGCCGCGCGGAGGTATATCTTATGGGCTCGGAAACGACGGGCGCTTGCATCGAGTATGACCCTGTTATGGAGTTCATCCGTTAAAAAAAAAACATGCTATATCAACCGGCGTAAATAGATCCATACCTCTGAAGTTCTGCCTTTTCCGTTTCCGCGTCATTCCCTCCGGCTGGAACGGCCGGGGTATAGTTCGACGACATTAGGGCTTGCGCGGCGGCCAAACTCTCCCGGATCACCGCATAGCCTGGCTGGCAGCAATCTTCCGCGGGCACGGGGATATCTTGTTGCGAGATGTGTACCAGGAGGGTCCGGTAGTCGTTGATGATCTCAGCCACTCTTAGGGCACGTGCTTGGTTGACTTCATCATGCATCCTCGTTAGTATCGCGTCCCTTTGCAAACTAATGTAAATCCCGGGTCAGGATTTGAAGATGAATGCTTACGTCCGTCTGCCATTGCTACTTTCTCTTAAGAAGCGATTCTAGGGAAGGGAACGACTAGGAACCAAAGAGCAAAAGCCCAAGTAGATCAACGGAGAGATAAAGTGGACAATAGAGCAATTGATATACTAAGACGGCGAAACCAAGCTAAGTCTCTGGGAAAAGAGTGGCTGCTCTATAATAGGGTTCCATTCATTGAGGGTGAGATATGCCTTTTAAATTCGATCTCCATGGCCACCGATGACAGCTTTCCAGCCCATCCCCGTAAGCCAAGGAGGAAGAGCTTTACTCAGGGAGATCATCATGAACAGTGGCTGGCTGCAAAAATGACTGTTGCTGCTGAGGAGAGGATACGGATATCACAGCTCGGGACCACAGCTGGGCAATGACAAGTAGAGGTGGAGCCCATAGTAGGTAGAAGCCCCATCCGAAGCCATGTGCCTAACCGACTCTAGTCCTCTGATATCAAAGAACGCGAACGCTAAGCAGCTGGTACGTCAAAGAGGATCCAAGACTGGGTCTGCATGGGCATCGTAAGGGGAGGGGGAAAAAAATCAATAATACAAACCAATAATTGAATAGAACAGAAAATATTAAACCAGAAAATTCAGAATAAGGAAAAAGGGAAATAAAGGAAAAAGAAAAAGAAAAAGAAATGGGAAAAGAAAAAAGAAAAGTCTAAACCCCACAGACTAAATACAGTAGCAAAATGATACATCCAGCATGGATCATCTCATGTGTCAGTTTACCGCACCAGTGGAAAGGCACCCACCGTGGCTTGCTGGGATGCTGGATCTCGGAAAACTGAGCAGACTCTATCTTGCAGACAGGTGCAGGGCGCCAAGTGGAACACCCTAAGGGACGATGGATCCCAATGGGCTGATTGTTCGTTCGCCAAAACGCCTAAAAATGGCGCTAAACGCCGAGCTAGTTAGTAATTCACCAGCTGTGCTTTTTGTCTCCCAAACATTACGCTCAGATTCTCGCCACACTTTAGTCCCCTGATATGCACGAGGGAATCGGGTGCGTTTCAGGTCCGGAGGCATCTACCGGTTAGGAAAGGTTTCATCCGAGGTCAGAGGAAAAGCGAAACATCATGGAGACGCCCTGACTCACGCCGTCAATTGAGTTTTCAGGTACCCTACATTTTTTTGCCTCGATGATGACGGAGATGAACTCCGCGAAAGCCACACGTCCCAGCTCAGCCACACCCCGGCCACAGTACCCGGAGACCAGCTGAAGGCATCCAAAAGCAAATGATTGACAGCCTCAGGCGGATCTCCTTCCCGCTCAGGATCCATCCTCAGCATTTGCTGTCACGTCTGCCCCAACTGGCTCGGCTCCGGTGGCGAATCCGACCTGCCAATCCACATTCGACTACGTCAAGATATTGCCCCAGGGCATGCACCACAGCTATCCACTCATCCTTCCGTATCCTCGCTCATTCCCTCCGAAGGTGCTTCGCGATTGCATAGCGCACCCTAACTGCACTCCTTGCAGATTGTCACGTCTCAGATACCGTGGAGACACAGAGAGCTTGCAGGCTGTGTAATGTCGGCTCGAGCCCATCACATCGCCAATGTTGAATCTAATTCATACCGAGATCCTGGATCCTGCACGTTGCCACAGACCTGGAGAAGTACGGACGAATCGCCGTCCTCCGTCTACCGTTTGTCTGCCCTGGCAGCAAGGGTCCGGCGACTATATCACCAGGAGAAGGCCCCATGGTAACAACCAGAGTCGGAGTTATGCTATTAAATATCATTCGCGTCTAGCAAACATGCACGTTCATACGTTCAACATTCAGTCCTTTTCGGCAATAGCCTGCAGCCGTTCATCAATCTCATCCTCCGTCAGAGCCCGGAAATTAACATCCGTGCCCTCCTGACCATCCGTCCGAGGGCCGCCAACGATTCCAATCTCCAATTCGTGCTTCTTGAAATCGACGCTAAGAACATTGCTCAAGGCCGTGATTCCCAATTCGACAACTTCCTCCCAACCGCCCTCGGCGTAATCCTTGTTCTTCAGCTTCTTTTCCAGGTAAGTGATCGCCTCCTGCTGTTTCGGACCAGATGCGGTGGCCTTGTATCCGACGTAGTAGCCTGCAGGGTCGCATTTGTAGACCTGTGGACCATTCTCCGAGTCGACAGAGATCAGGGTCGTAGCGACTCCTAACGGGCGCATGTAAGCCTAGAAAGTATTTGCGTCAATCCACATAATCCCGTATTGACCAAGACGGATGATACATACCCTCTGCGTGTAGACCTGGTTTATATTGGCAAGTCGCTTCGCAAGGACATCACAGGGCATTTCATAACCGTATTTGTATCGGAATTCCGCCGCCTCACCACGAGCACGGTCAACGGAAGCCCTAGCATCCGCTATAGAACCGGTCATGACACAGCCAACAGAGGGAGAGAGCCGAAAGATATGTGAAACGGAGGATGGATCAATCAGTTTGTCCTAAGGTATCGATTAGACAAGCTCAGGACTCGAATATGTGCGGAAAATGTAGCTTACAGCAACTTTCTTCTGAGACAACACCACCGCGCAGTTCTTTCCTCTCACACCCAAGGAAGTTATGTTGGCTGAAGTGATGGCTTTGAAGGCATATTCTATTGATCACGGAACATGGTCGATCAGCTATCCAGTTGTCTTATGGTGATGGGTCCCCACATGTTCGGTTGATGCCGAACTGTTTCTCAAGGATGTAGGTTCCAAACTGAGGCACTCACCAACTTGATACAGACGACCTTGGTCCGAGAAAATTGTGATATGTCTGTCATATGCGCTTCCTGCTCGCAAAATGACGGTCAGTAATCGATGAAGTCATGGCACCAGGCCAATCAATTTATCCAAGGACCCTACCAGACATGATGGCGATAAGTGTATATAGTACTCAGCAAAGTTACCAAGCGGGAACAGCAGAAATGGAAGCGGTAGCGAAGGTATTGAGAGGGACGAAGAGGGGGAATGGCGATGGAGGATGATGAGGTTCGAGAGGACGCGTGCCAGAGGGTGCCTGAGGGCCGGAGCTCTGAGCTATTGAGTAAGCTCCACCGTCACCGCCTTTGGACAGCGCATATCAATTGGCGGATCGATGAATCCTACAAGTCGGTCCAGGTTCCTTAGTAGTAGTACTAGTAGTACCATTTCTACATGAGACACTTGGGCATCGGTAAAGATTATGGCTCGTTTGATTTTATGCCTTCATAAACAAGTTTTGAATAGAATAAGTTCTGAAAATACTGTTCTATCCGTATATACTGGGTATACATGGCAACTAACTACAGGTGAATCATGCTATCAGTTTGGCGAACTCCTTCATATGCCTAGACCAGGTATCCAACTTTTCGCTAAAGACTTTTCGAATGTAATCCTTGAGAACTTTTTTGATAATATGTCACAGCGTGAGCATGGACTCCAGGTGAGCCACCGCGAGCAGAAATGTGGGAGAGAAAGACGAGATAATAAGCCCGAAGAACCTATGCAATGGAAATTTAGGAAGAGGAAGAGGAAGATGACGACGAGGATGATGAATCACTCGAGCTTGTGCTTTCAGCATCGCTGTCACTGCTCGAATCAGAAGACGAATCTCTGGGTGTCTCTTTCTTCTTTTTGCTGGGAGCAGCATCGTCGTCGCTGTCGCTGTCGCTGTCACTAGAGCTTTCACTTTCACTGCTGCTTGATATTTCCACAATAGCAGTCCGGTTCTTCTTCTTCTTCTTATTTGCTTGGTTCTGGTTCTTCGCACCCTTTCCTTTTTGTGCAAGAGGCTTTGGCTTCTGGAAGTTGAACAGCGTGCCATTGACTGCATACAAGACGAGCTCCGCTCGCTGTCTCATCTCAAGCTTCTTCAACGCATCGCCTTCCAGCTTATCCGTAGATCCAGTCATATTAAGCTCATCTTGTTTGCCCTGAGACAGGCATTCCCTGAAAGCGCCAAGAGCGCTATTATAGTTCTCCTTCTCAGACGGGACATGTTCCTCAGACTCGTCCACGGCGCTTTCATCCTTGTCATCGGACGAAGCCTCTTCAATCTCTGCCTTCACGGCCTCCTCAGCAATCTCACGTAACCGCTGCTTAGCACCTTCACTCTTCAAGCCCTGAAGATACACAAGAAGAGCAGCATTATACTGAGTCGGCACCTGCTCCAACGAAAGAACATGTTTGAAGAGATGTGTTTCGCGGTTCTTCTGGAACTTCCACGCCGACCGATGTTTGTAGTAAAGACTCAGGTAGGAGAGAATAGGAGTTTCATGAATCTTCGAAGACGCATCGCTCGCTGAATCTCCAGCCGCCGACTGATCCCTCTTCTTCTTTTTCTCCTTCTTCTTCTTCTGCTTCTTCCCTCCATCCTCGGCATCAGCATCGGCACCGGCATCCATATCGACATCACTCTGGGCATCACGACTAGGCACCTCCCTCTCCTCTACTTTAGTCGAGAAAGACACCTTCTTCTTTTTCTTGGGGGATTCGTCATCTTTTCCCTCAATTGCAGATTGTTCTTTTTCGTCCCGCTCATCGTTATTATCGTCAAGTCGTCGTTTTTTGTTCTTGCGCGACTTCTTATCCTCTGGCTCGGGTTCGGCTTCGGTTTCAGCATTGCTCCTCTTCTTCTTTGAATCTTTCTTCTTTTCCTTCTTGTCCTTCTTCTCCTTCTTTTCAACCTTATCTGTATTTTCCCTTTCCTCTTCTTCTAGGGAGTCCTTAGCGTATTTGAGCTTCAAGCCTAACTTTTTCCACGCCGGGACGTGGGAAGATTCTTCGCCGGACATTGCGACAAATTGCGGTCTACCTTTGGGATCTCGACGAAAAAAAAAAGTTCGGTCGCGTATATTAGAAGGCTCTGGAAAAACGGTTGAGAAAAAGACGCAGTGAGCGCCTAAATGGTGGGTGTGGGTTGTGCGAATTGAACGTTTGGATTGTATTGTAGAAAGTTTGGAGAAAATTTCCACGTGAGTTGCGGAAGTTTAGCAACACCGCGGAATTAGGTTTATTTTTTTTTTACGTCCGCCTCCATTTGAGTATATGATTGGGATTTACATGTGTATTTCTTCCAGTTTAAACCTCTCATATTCAGAAAATATCCTTTAGTATGTAGGTAGATGTATCAATGACCGTAAAATCATCGCTTGCATTATCTATTCATGCCATTAACCTTTATCCTTCCGATTCCTTGACTCCAGTTTCAGTCCCAACCCTAGCCTCGTCAAAAATGCGAACCCACGATGCATCTTGGTGACATGTACATTATGATGCATGAGCACCTGAGCCACTGGCGCTTTCTACCCCGTTTGGATCTCTTCTCTCTTTCTTCATTTCCTTTTGTGCATTACCTTCTGCTGCTTTGCGACGGAGTCTTTCCCTGTCTCGAGAACTGGTCACCGTCCTCCGCCTTCGCACCGGTTCGTAGAAGTCGTTGAAGTTCATTACTACAGCGAGGAACCGCATGTCTACATCTGGTTGGTATGCTAGGTCGCCCAGGAGTGTATTCAACCGGGATCGAAACTCGGCAGACAGATCTCGGAGTCGAACACGTAGGGACGAAAGCATGTGGTCGTCTGCAGAAAGGTCCTGGCCTATGAGGGATGATGGTGTACCTATACCATCTGCAGAGTTCCCAACATTCGGCGTGGACATCGATGACACCGAGTTTTGGTGTCCACGAGTGCGCCGGGATGAGAGAAGGTCGCGTTCTGTAACGCCCCATCGGCCTTGTGCGGTTCGTGTTTCGATTTTAGCACTGAGTTCTTGCCTTCGGGTGAACTCGGCGACAGAGAAAGAGTACAGCCCATCGACAGCATCTTTATATGCAAGCATAATCTTCAATATCTGGTGTAATTGAGTCAAGAAGCTCTCTTCCTGATGCTTGTTTGAGGACGAGCTCTTAGACGAAGATGAGGAGCCTAGTAGACCCTTGTGTGTAATCGAATCGAGATATTTGGTGTGTGCTTCAATCAGATCATCCAGCGTACATCCTGGCTTAGAGATAGAGGCTTGCAATTGATCCCAACTGGCCTCAATGACTTCGAACAAGATGTAGTATTGTAATTGGCAAACAAAATGTATCATTTCAGCAATGACGCATCTTGCTCCCTTCCAATCAGGTCCTACCTTATCGTCGACACTTCTCAGTACTCCTCGGGCACCGGTCATACATCGTCGCCAGGTGCTACCCAGGGCAAACTCGACCCGTTTCACGCGCCATAGAAAATTGAAGACTTTCAAATATTGAGTAGAGCCCCAGGGTGTAATGACTACATCAACTGGCGCATCTATTTTATACTCGAGTGTGAAGCAATCCCAGCCAATCTCACCGTGACTGAGTTCGAGCATCCGGGCATCTAGTCGGCGAAGGACGTCTGAGGAGTCATATTGAGCATTCGAAGCACGAATGGCATGCTCCAACTGGGCCGTGAGCGTATGTCTGTACTGGGAATTAGCAGGACGGTCGAGGTTTGAAGCCAGTGATTCCATCAAGAGGGCGATGAAATCACCCTGTCCCAGTAACAGGTATTTCTTCAGCGCCCGGAGATGATCGAAGAGCTTGAACTTTTCGTCCATGAGGTAAATTAGCCGCGCCATTGTGGATTTATATGCCTCATCGATGGATGTCTCTAGACTTGCTGTGTCGCCGTACCGCAACTCTTTCGAAGTCTCTTTTGAATAGGCTTCCACCCATCCTGAATCCCCACAGCCGTACCTGATGAAATTCAAAGATTTTCCTATCAAAAATACTTTCTTGGCAAAATCCTGTGTGATGATGGATGGCACCAAGTCGTCGTCAAGCTTATACTTGTCCTCCCAAACGCTTGTCGCGATGCGCCGGGGATCAGTGCTTGGACTAACTTCTGGCTCTACTACAAAGAACTCTTGATATGGATCTGAAAGCTCGCCATCATAGATCCACAAGCGCAGCATGTTATAGAACGGGCGCGTAACATGTGTGAGCAGTTTCTCAGCTAGTGCGCAGACGAAAGGATCACCGTGAGAAGTCGAGAAGCCATGTATCATTGATATAAGTTGGCCACCCTTCTTGTCTAGAATGTCGTTAGTAATTGAAATGCCAAAGCATATCCGATCACTTACTCTGAGCTTCTTCGACAATCACGCTCATTAATCTCAATGCCATTGTCGCGTCTCTTGTCCAAACTACGCATCTTTTCAGTGTAACCCCGGTTTTGGCTACGCTGGCGGGAGAAGTAGAAGCTTCAGGAGCGGCCAGCGCCCTTCGAATCTCCCCTTCCAGTGTCGCAACTAACCCTAGATACGAGCGGAGTTCATTTGCGAGAGCTGCTCGCAAACTCTGGTTCAATAAACCCCCACTGGAGCTTTCAACAAAAGCCGACAACTTTCTATATAGCAGGCCCGGCTCAGCCAATGTGTTCAGAAGAGATATCAAGGTAATAGGCAGAGTCGGTGGGAGTTTGACGATAGAGGACGTAAATTCGAGGTTCGATGACGACAAGCCCTGAAGGATGAAAGGAAGGTCACGCAAAAGCCCATTCTCGAGAGGCCGAGCTAGTTTCTGTTGATTGTCTGGAGCCGGCTGGGGCTGAGCGGTTCTCTGTTCCTCCGTCTGGATGTCTCTTGCTGCAGCGTCTGACATTACACGATGTCTCTGGTGCTCTCGAGCAACTTCGGGATCTTCGTCTTCTTCCATGTTCCGTATCTCCCGTTCAGGTCGTCGCTGAGAAGCTTTCCGTTCGAGGCGCGCAGGCAGTTGCGATGCTGATGAACTGATCGCGGGACCTTCCTCATCTGACATTGGCCCCATTCCCTGTATCGCTCGCTGTCCCTTCCACAGCAAGTTCTGCAAATTACCTGGTTCGACAGCTGGACTCCGACTACCTCCTTCCTCCTCGAAGCTTTCGTCGTAGTCGTCCGAGCTCGACAGCCGATAAAGCAGGTACAAGATGGCCCACTTTTGTGATAGGACAGGTTGAGTTAGAAGGCGCGAGTATAAATTGGAGAATCGCATCGCTTTATCTGGGCTCGCATTTTCACGTAGCAGCTTCCGCTTGATCAAATCCGACGCGTTGTTGATATTCTCCCCACCTGCTAAGCTTCCTCTACGAGTGATCCCCAGTCCCGATCCACCATTTGGCGATGTTGGATCATTGCTCGAATTGGAATAAGCATCGAGTATTCTCCATGAGTGTTCGAGGTTCTCCTGTTGTCGCACGGCGAGTGCCTCGTAGTCTTCGTCGGGGAGCTCGTCTTCCGTGGTAGCATAAGAGAATCGGTGGGTGAGATTGTCAACGAGCTGCGAGAGGGCGTCCTCAATGCGACGTGGGCGCGTAGAGTGACGAGCTGACATAATTATTAGCAACCCAGCTTTCCAAGTGCTTTCCCAAGCTAGGTTTATTCACGACCTCTCGTGACGTCGATGATCACCAGTGGATGCACAGAAATGTGGGACGCCGAGAAAGCAAATGCAGTTGACTTCAATGCGGGGGGGTAAAACAGCGCATGGCTTCCTGCCCCGAATCGCATATAATCGGCCAATGTTCAAAAGCTATCGCAATGGGCGTGCGGCGGCGGCGGCGGTGGTGGTTGTTGTTGTCGGTTTGCCTAGTTTGAGCTGTTTGAACCCTCCCGTGACCGCCAAGCTCTCAGTTTGGTATCCAGACGACTAACAGTAATGGTAGTAAGTAAACTGGAGAGAAGACATCACGGCTACTACTCTACAAATCTACGTATGACACATCATTTAAGATTGAACTGATTCAATCTCAGCATGTTTGGATTGTCAAACCTAGAACCATCTGACATGCGAGTCGCTGTAGCAACACTGAACGGGAAAAGCAGACAGCCCCCAGAACGCCACCCGATTAACGCTGTATCTCGAGGAAAGAAGAAGGAGGGGAAAGACACATCATCCCGTGCCTTTTGAATATCAGACAGCCGAATTGAAGCCCCAGAAATAAGGGAGGCAAAAGAAACCCAGAAGACAGAAGTAAGCAATACACAAACCCCAGCCGCTTAACTCATGGACCAAGGTTTCAAGATGTAGTGTAGAAAAAGACAGGGGAGAAGTGGAAATAATAAAGGAGAAAGACGAAGAAAGAATAGAGTAACACAGCCAAAAGAAGCTTTTGCGCCAAGTTTGCACCCTCCAGAGATTCGATAAATCCCGTATCGCACCATCAGATTCAGCCAGTCCAATTTTTGAATTCGTATACATCATTAACACCTACCCATGCCCAGGAGGCCCACGTTTTAAAAACGGAAGCCGAATGAAACTGAAATGTAACAAGAACCCATGGAGATGGTCTGGGCTCTAGACAGAAATAGCCCTGCACCCAGGGGTGCAAAGCAAAGTAACGTTGTAAGTCGTAGCAACGCGATTAGACCAAGATCGGAGGATATTAAGATCGCAGTCTAGAAATCATTTATTCATTGTCTTCGGAGTCCCTGTGCAGGGATAGGTGCACCTGGTTGCATTCCCATGCTGTTAGGGATGTTATACGGATGAGGATCGAATCCTGCCGACATGCCGTTCATCATCAAGGGCCCAAGTCCTTGGGCCTGAGAAACCGGGCAGTCCTTATGTGCTAGTAGGAGCGTTTTGAGATTGACGATCTCTTCACGCAATTGAGTGACGGTAGCAGTAAGCGCATCATTTTCTGAAGTGAAAAGCTCAACCTTTGCTTGCAAGTTGGCAAGCCATTGTTTCTTTCGCTGGCGACATTTCAAGGCAGCGACCCTACCGACACCATGTCAGAAATGCACTCGGCGCCACAAATACTGTGAAACTTACCGGTTCCTCTCGAGGAAATTCTTTCTCTTCTCTTCATCCGTCATCTTCTTGCTGTCGGTCTGAGACTTCTTCTTCTGCTCTTCCTCTTCCTCTGAATCACCGGCATCAGAAGGAGGTTCAGTGCTACCAGAGCTAAGCTTGGCTTTCTTGTTCGACCCTTTAACTGGAGCATCATCTGCTTTACGCCGATTGTTCGCTGCCCCGCCAGTCTTAGAAGCTGTATTCTTTTTCTTCCCTTTCGTGGCAGGCTTTGCCTGTTCACCTTGCACGTCAGACATGTCGTCACTTGTCTCTCTGCCACCGTTAGAAGCTCGTCGATCAGAATCGCGACCTTGATCGTTATTTTGGATGTTCTGTGGTGGTATCGATGACTGGTTGGAAACAGCGAATTGATTAGGATTCGCCTGTCCGCCCTTGGCTAGCATAAATAGCCCATTTGCGGCATCCGCAGCATCATGATGGCCGAAGGGATCCGACTGATTGGGTTTAATGTCCATGGTCGTGCTCTGTGCTGCTTGTTCAGGATCAGACGTTGGGTTAGAGGTTGGGCCATTCAGAGCGTTTTTCTTGGCGGCGTTCAACGCAGTACGATGAAACTCAATGGTTGAAGGAGTGGCACCCCCACTTTGCAATTGCTGCAGGAGCGCCTGGGAGTTTGGACTAGGTGCCGGGAACATAGAACCTCCACCACCAGGAGTCAATCCAGTGCGCAGAGAGGACTCGTTCGGGGTTGGGAAGCCCCTGCCAATGCTGTCGAAATAATCGCTTGAACCGGTCGGGCCAGCGAGCATGGCCGGGCTCAAGGGCCCAGAACGCAAGGAGTTAGACCAGCTATAACCGCCTCCGGCCGAGCTGGTACCGGGTAAGGCAGGAGACGTGAGCGAAGCGACTGGAGGAAGGATCGACTTCCCGGGTGTCTCGCCAGATGAGCCACCACTATTGCCACCACCAAAGGATTGCTCAAAGGGGTTCGGTTCCAAAGAAAAGGGATTGTGCACAGAATTAAAGTAATCTGGGGTATCCGCAGCTGATGTTATGGCCGGCCGTGGAGGAGGCGCCAGTGAGGTCTGGGGATCTACATCGGACTTTATATTCTTGGTCTCTGAAGACGGCGCCTGGGAGTCTGCAAAGCAATGACAAGTCCAGTCAGCAGGTGAGTAATACCAAAGTGACGCGACTTAGACGCGACAGCGAGGTGTATCTGAGATGGATCGGGTGGTGAAGGGTAACGGCGACGATGAGATCGCATTCCCGTCGCGTTACAGTGGTTAGGGTAATGGGAGTAAGCGATCTGATAACAGAGCCCCATCGATGACGCCAGGTGTGAGGTCATCCCGACGGCTGGAACACATAACAGAACATCTGGGGGAGTAGTGGCGTATCTACCAAGCCAGAATGGGCCAAGGCTTAATAGAAGATACAGATGTCGCAAAAACTCTCTTGCAACTGACAACTTCACGATATAAGGAAGCAAAGTACCGATGACCAAATAAAAAAAAATTTCAAGCAAAAAAGAAAAAAGGGCATGTGCACGCACACACAAAGAAGCTCGAACTAGAAGGAGATATACTAACCTTCAGTTTCCAAAGCGTTCTTTTTCGCGTCCATTGAAGATGTATTAATTGTATCAGCGCGATGTGTTAATGTGCCTGTAACTGTTGATGCAACAGCTGCAGACATAATTTAGCTGGACGTGACGGTTATATTAGACAAGCGAAGGGGCCGCGCGAGTGATCAGAGAACCTAAAGCCGGAAGAGAAGAAAAAAAAAAAGGCAAAAAAAAGAAGAATCGAGTGAAGACTGGTGGCAAAAGGATGGAGTAATTCTTCACAACAATAAGCAAGTAGAAAAAGATAATATAGATCAGAAGGCAGGCAATGCTCTTGAAGACTGATTCAAGGCAATTTGTTGATGTCCGTCCGTTCTTCTGCACAGAATCCCAGAGTAACTGTGAAGGGAAGGGAAATGAGAAGTTGTGACGTAGTCGGACTCAAAGGGAGTTTTTAGGGGGAGAAAAAAAGAGGGGAGGCGGTCGAGTGTCGTGAGCTAAGCGTTTTTGGGCCTTGCCTAAAGAACTCGACTCCTGTCACGCCAAAGTGTAAACAGAAAAGAAAAAAAAAAAAAAATTAAAAAAATTAAAAAAATTAAAAAAAATTTGCAACCTTAGGGTGTGTACAAAAGGCCAACGGGTACCAGCTAAAGTGCAACCTCAACAGTAGAATAGGAAAGTTGGCTCTTTCTTCGCACTTCGGTATTATCTTGTAGTATTTCTCTTTTTCTCTTTATTCCTTTTGGTTTTCTTTTTCCACTTTGTGTCTGTCGGCAGCTTATTTCTTTTCTTCCTTTATTCTATTATTTTTTTTTGTCTTTTCTTTTTGCCTTCGTTGATTTCTAATCCAAAATTTCAAGAGCTAATTTTGATAGACGGAATGACAGGAGGGAAAAAAGGGAAACACTCGGATGGAAAAGAACCAACCTTACAGGAGGGGAACAAAAATAATCACAATCAAGCAGCGAATTATGCAGTCGAACGCTGGGGTGACCCTTACGGAGTACTACTAGTATGTACAGGACTTGCAACAAGAACTTGGAGACAAGTGGGCACCCGGCAGTACATTTCGACCAATATGAATGACGCAAAGCCCGTGGACGCGATGGGGTGAGGGCGGAAACCACAGACCAACTCAAACCGGACACCCCGTCAAGTTGCAACAAGATCCAGGAATGTTTCAATAATCCAGGGATAACTAAATTGTGCTAAGAGGACAAGTACCCCCAAAGAGAGAAGATTGAAGGTCCGACGCGACAAACAGGTCCAGTTCAGAAGGGAGACAGAATGTAGGAAGGAAAAAAAAAAAAGGGAAACAGATGAAGTCACGGTGACGACGACAGGAATTTTCTGGGACGTCGGACCAGCCGGGTGGCCGCTACGAGTGGAGAACACCTGGGTGGCCACTCGCCAGCACTAGCGGCTCCACCATCTCCAGCCACTCATCGGCCTGATTGCGAGCCCCCACTTTGATCGTGACTCCAGAATCCGACATGGTTTTTGAATCGCCAAACTTCCAAGGCCGCAATGGGATCTGCCATAGATTCGAATTAGCGAATCAGGATATATGCCATGTTGGTTCTCTTGCAGGGCGGTGAATCATCCCCGTCCATTGAATGGTCAAATCCTAACGCAAAGAGGTGAAATCAAAAGTACTACTAGTACTGTGTCCTACTACTAGTAGTACTGCGTAGTAGCCACTGGCGGGGCCCTCATCAGGAGATAATGAACAAGGAATCGATGGTCTTCGAACCGTCCATGCTTTGGTGTCTCAGGGGGGGTTCTCGCCGTCCGGAGAATGACACATGGAGTTGCTGATTGGGCCTTGTTGATGACGCAATACTACTCTTGGGACGTTCGTCCCGTGGGTATTCATCACGTGATTCATGGTCGCTTGCTCTCGTTGGCGGGCCAGACAAAGACAAGTCGAATTTCTTGGATTGCCACTGAGGTGAGGTTCTGGACAAAGCACCCATTGCCTCCACCCCGTTCAGACTGGTCAAAGTTGGTTGGGGATGGATTAGGAGTCGACCTATTGTCGACTGGAATTTGTTTGCTTACGGTTCAACGAGTACCCCTAAAATGTGTCGGGGGTACATAGTCGTACACGGTCTAGGCATGTATGTCTCGTACAACTGCCAGTGGTTATTGATCTAAGGATATCGCTGCATTTGCCAGGCCAGTTGACGATGTGCGATCCCTGGCACGCTGACTGATAATGCGAATGTTAAATATTATGCATAATTGGCATCGAGTCATTCAGGTTTAGGGTTAGCAAAGAAAAGAAATGGGATTAGCTTTGTTTGAGATCTCGGGTGATTCAGGAATAATACGAGTTCGTTAGCCCTAGGCTTGCCGATTCGATCCTCACTGCCTGTGATCTGTGAATATCAACAGGTCCATGAATATCAGATTGACACATACACTACTAACTCATTCACTATCGTAGCTGCCTCAAGGTGAACCAGGCAGCAGGTTTTGCCCTTCGGTTCTGCCTCGTGTAACCAGCTGACAATGACAAGGCATACTCAGTAGTTCGTGACTTCTTTATAAGATGGAGCCTAATTCTCACCTTCTCACTAGCTGGTGTTGCTCTTCATTCCAAGATAGTTAATCACATCCAGGAAAAACAGCTCGGCCCGAAATGGCAAAATCACAGAATATCCCAGAAATCATCCTTCTGTGCATGGAGGAGAAGTTCATCACGGCATTCAACGAAGCTCTCCCGACGTATTGGCCATCCTTCGCAGAAAACCCGAAGATCAAGATTACCGTGCTTAACATGGGACTCCATGCGGTCCCTACCACGGCCAAGTTCCAATTAGTTGTCTCACCTGCCAACTCCTACGGCCGCCTGGATGGTGCCTTTGATGATGCGATCTCACGGAACTTCTGTCGTCCATATCATCCTTATGACATGCTCACGCGCGCAGCGCAGCAAGTGCTCTACGAAAAATGGAGAGGCTTTGCGCCCCCAGGATCTTGCACGCTGGTCCCGTTCCCTAAAGATATGGCAGGCACAAATGCTTGGGGCTGTAAATGGGTAGCGATTTGTCCGACCATGAGAGCGCCAGATAACGTCACGTGGGACCGAGAAGTAGTGTACGAGTGTGTGTGGAGTTTGCTATGTCAAGTGGAAGGCTGGAACCATGACCGATCCAAGGACAGGATTGACACTATACTGATGACACCACTGGCGACGGGAGTTGGACGTGTAAGTCCTGAGAAATGGGCATCACAGTTTATCCTAGCAATGAAGCACTTCGTGGATGCGTTGGAACGACCGGAGAGGTGGAGTCGCTTGGACTGGGGGGAGATTGAAAAGGATGTGATGGAGGTCGAAAAAACGTGGAAAGAATAACTTTGGTGCATCGTTGTTATCATAGTTCAGGGTCTCGGTTTACTTTGAGGCTATCAATCTATATGTTTACCTGCATACATCGATATACGTCATATAGCAGCCCATACCTCCACCCTAATCAAACGGTGATAAGATCCCTCAGGCGCTTTATCGATAGCCTCACGATCCGCGATAAGTTGAGTAGTTCCAAGGCCCCAAGAGTACCGGCACATGATAGTGTCGCCATCCCTCCTCCCCCTCTCGACCACGTCCCTTCACCGTGAATTTCACCTCCACCTCAGGCCAGAAACTTTCGACTCCTTGCGCTTCATACCACGGTCCAACTTCGAATCGCACTGACCAGTGCGTCTTGCTGTCAGCCGCTGGGAGGGATGAGAGGATAGCAGGAACAGGGGCGGGGCAATTCGTCGCAGGAGTCCAATTTTTGACGCGACCATCAGCGTCGGTGGTTGCGGTGAAAGTGATGGGGCTTTGACTGCTTGAAGGGGCCGACAAGAGAGTTAGCGTCACCGGGAGGTTCGCCGCCGGAGTACCCGACAGAGTATTTAGGACGTGGCAGGTAATAGGGTCGCGAGACATTGTAGCTGATGTGTCTGTAGCAATCGAATTGTTGACAGCGGTGGAGGATGCTGGTGGTGGAAGAAGCTGTTGTTGGTAAAGGCTGAGTCGGTCTTTGGTTCTGCCCAATTGGTCACTCGATCTCAAGTCCATCAAGGAAGAAATATTCGAGAAGAAAAGGAGGGCAATGATTGGAGAGTGGGAATCGTAAAGAAATGTCGGATGATTTTTTTTTCTTTCTCTTCTATCCCCTTATATGTAGACCTATGGGGTTTTTGTATCTCCGCTCTTCATGCATCGGAGACCACCGACAATCTGTTGCACCCTTCCGGAGTATACCTTCAGTGGGGCAGCAAATTGTGATATTCAAGTTCACATTGTCAAATTCTGGTACATAAGACCTTCTCTCCAGAACTCGAAATTCTTGGGTGTATTAATTTTATAATTGGCATGAGAAGAGTCTCTTAGAGCGTTTTCGAAAGAGCATTGTCGCGCTGTCATCACATTGACTACACAATCTTTGGCGGGGATCCATCATGGAAGCCTCAGGCAAGAAGGTCTCCGCACGTGCCACCTTTGACCGACAGCAACAACGGGGAGTTGTTTCTTAATGTTTAACTGCCGCGGGCGCTTGTTCGAGGGAAGACTCCTTTTGGTTCGAATTTAGGTTCGGAGATTGCTCCTGAATTTTCGAAAGCGTGAACAGCTTGTTCCTAGCACTTACAGCATTTCAGGCTTATCTTCCGGAAGCTTCGATCGTCGCAACCAAAAAGTTTTGGATCTTGCGGGGAAACAATCTACGTGGTAAACTCGACTTCATGACTGTTCCTTGTTCAACTGAGCCACAGCTTACCTTTGGTCATTTTTTAGTCCATTGAATCTCAGCTGCCTGTTTTATAGCTTCTAGCCAATTTACGCCAGCTTCAGGATGTCTACTGCCGTCGTACAAGCCGACGATCTCATGGAGCCTTCGCTCCAGTCGATCGTCAGCCAGGATACCCTCCGCTGGATCTTCGTTGGTGGTAAAGGAGGTGTCGGTAAAACAACTACCTCCTGTTCTCTTGCGATTCAGCTGGCCAAAGCTCGCAAATCGGTTCTGCTCATCTCGACCGACCCCGCACACAATCTCAGTGACGCCTTTGGGCAAAAGTTTGGAAAGGAAGCTCGGCTAGTCGATGGGTACACCAACCTCAGCGCTATGGAGATTGACCCCAATGGCAGCATTCAGGACCTGCTGGCCAGCGGCGAAGGGCAGGGCGACGACCCTATGGCTGGATTGGGCGTTGGAAACATGATGCAGGATCTGGCTTTTAGCGTAGGTTTTTCCAGGACTACCGAATGCTCATGGAGTACCTCGACTAATCAACATAGATCCCCGGTGTTGATGAAGCCATGTCCTTTGCGGAAGTCCTAAAGCAAGTCAAATCCTTGTCATATGAGGTTATTGTTTTTGACACCGCCCCTACCGGTCACACCTTGCGTTTCCTTCAATTTCCCACCGTGCTTGAAAAGGCTCTTGCAAAGCTTTCGCAGTTGTCGTCTCAATTCGGGCCCATGTTGAACTCCATCCTTGGCTCCCGCGGTGGTCTGCCGGGTGGTCAGAACATTGACGAGCTTCTACAGAAGATGGAGTCTCTCAGAGAGACCATCAGCGAAGTCAACACTCAATTCAAGAACCCGGACATGACCACCTTTGTGTGTGTCTGTATCGCTGAATTCTTGTCTCTGTATGAGACCGAACGTATGATCCAGGAGCTGACAAGCTACAACATTGACACGCACGCCATTGTCGTCAATCAGCTTTTGTTCCCCAAGCAGGGTAGTGAGTGTGAACAGTGCAATGCACGGAGGAAGATGCAGAAAAAGTACCTGGAACAGATTGAAGAACTCTACGAAGATTTCAATGTTGTCCGGATGCCGCTGTTAGTTGAGGAAGTCAGAGGAAAGGAGAAACTTGAAAAGTCAGTTCTTGTTGAAACTCACCGCACAGAAAATAACCTCAGTACTAACTATTTGCAGATTCAGCGACATGCTCATTCACCCATATGTCCCCCCACAGTAAAATTGCTCTGTGGCATTGTGCAATAGTTCCACCCTGGTTGTCGAGCCCGAAGAAGATGGGGAATGATATTCGACAATGATTTCTCGGTACAGGAGGATTCGCTATTTACTACGAAGCACTTCATTACGGAATAGTCGCATGTTTGTTGTGAAGGTCGTCAGGTCGGGGATGGCGCAGATAAATATGCAAGGTGAGGTTTTCAGCGAATTGTTATTATTGGGATGAGTTATGAGAAAGAATAGACAGTAATGCACGAAGCGTTTCATGCTTGTATGGCCATGTCGATCCTCAAGATTATCTACACTTTGGACATCAATACTTAAAGGATTTTGATTATCATTTATTTTTCTCCCTTTCTTTCCCTTTCGTTGCATTCGCGCCGTTCGGCCGTCAACGATCAACCATCATCTTGTTCGCCTCACTCCCGCCTTCTTCAGGCTCGAAGAGCTTATCACAACTTACAAATGTGGGTCTTTAGAAAAGCTTTATTTAGGTTACCGCCCAGGCATTGTTCATGGACGAGCAGATCGATAGGCTGAAGTCTCAATTGCGCATATTCATGGCCTTCTCCACTAGCAGCCTGTCCCGTTCAGAAGCAGCTGCGTGCTCTTGACGTGGGAGATGACCTCAAATGCCTCATTCTTAGCCAGGCCAAGCCTATCCACTTCCGAAATGCGGCTTCTCCAAAGATGGCTGTTTATCTTTCTCACCTTTACCCTATTTGTCTTGAAGTTATGGGCACGTTGAGAATATTGAATCAGGTATACACCGCAACGAGCCATGTCCATGTCAAGTGCACTATGCTTGTCACCCCTGGTTCCCTGGTATTTTAAGAGCACAATCAACGAAAGGACGCGACCTTGTTGGCCGACTCGGTACACTGAGCAAAAGGCTTGCCCATTACCCACCAGTCAAATGAAGGGCCGACATGCGTTTTCTAACAATAGCCCTTCCGCAAATGTCAAACAGCTAGATGGGTCTGAATCTGTTATACCGCAGTAGATCTGTTGCATCCTGAGCACGAGAACAATAACGTCCGCCGCCTCACCCTGTGGTATTTCGCTTGAAGGCCCAGGCAGCTCAGAGGAGCAAACGACGTTCAACCCGACAAGGCTGGCCCTGCTACGACAGTCCACGTCAATAGCATTATAGACACTTGCTCGCATGCGGACCTTCCTGGTGAGCATGGGTTAGCGGGTCCTCGACCAGATGTCGTAAATTCCTAAAGCGAACAACCTAGTCAAAGCCAAGGGAGCAAGTTAGCCCACATCCAAGGTAAGTATCAATATTTTTCGCGTGGGTCTCGGAGATAGACTGAGAACTTGTAAGTCACGGCAAGCATGTCGTGTTCTATCTGAGGATCGAGCGAAACCTTGACCGCTAGCTACCTACCATAGGGTTACATGATAGGAATATCCCTTTCTCAATGGATCCACACCTTATTCCCCGAGAGGCCTAGCATGAAGCATTCTCCTAGGAGGGACTTCGGCAGGCATCATGTCCAGATCCGTGATTGGGGTCCACGTCTTAATTTCGCGCTTGGTTCATATGCAATCACGGGAATATATTTTCCTGAAAATATTCGATGGTCTCAGAGACAGAATAGTTTTCAAATGTAGTGGATTCCACGGAGTGTGCACGAAAGCTTTGGACACTGCTTGTGTTTCCTGCAGGTGTCATTCTATTGTCAGGGTCTTTTAGGCTTGCCCATGCATGAATCCCTGGACCGTAATAATCTTGTCCCGGTCTAGTGGATCTACAGAACTTGCAGACGGTCACAGACACAACCCTTGAACATTCGACCGGTCCATGGAGCCACGGTATTCTACCAGAAAACAGACCGACTTTGGTGGTGCATATTCCCTGCAGACTTGGCAAGGAATTCAGACGAACAGGAGCGAAAGCCTAGGCGTTATAACCCCAGAACTAGTGGCGTTACTGGAGGACTGCTCCATTTGCGGATGGCGATGAGTCAAGCCTCACTTTTCCCGGCGAAAAGGGTTGGATAAAAGAGTGAGGCGGTTTCCCGAAATCCGACATCAGCAGCATGCGAAGTGGCCTCTCAGCCATATTCCTTTCGTTCGAAAACCTACGATGGTTTTCTTAGTTGCGTAAGTGCGATCTAAGCCTAGGGGTTCTCTCTTTGGCTAATCTTCCTCGCTTTGGTGATCGCTGCTACTGGCTAGTATACAGTTTCTCGGCGTTTTCGTGGTTTAAGCAATATATACACAGTACAAAACGCTAGGCGTCTCATACACCTTCTACTTAGTATCCCTTGCATGGTGGACACTATGTTGGATGCTTATAACCCTAAGTACCTCGTAGAGACTCGCAGCCATTGTTATCACCATCGCAGACGACTCAACCCAACCCCCATCAACCCTACTTACACATATACCAGTCTACCAAAGACAAGAAACAGATCGATGAGGATGTCTCAAGTGCAGCAATACTGGCTACCAGGATACGGCCTATCACGACATATTGTCCTCGGACATATACAATACTTCCTAGGACCGGCAGCATCGGTCAGGCCATACACATACCAGGTATAATCACCACGACCACTCTAACACAAGCTATGAGACAATGGCCCTAACAGCTGAGTCGGACACCAAAAGGGACGCGAAGGCTATCTAATAGTCGGTGTGCCTCTAACGAGGGTCTGTGTCCCTTCTACAGGCTTGATCGCGTGACCACCTCACTGACATTCAACCAGGAACAAATTGACGATCTTGCGGCCATGTCACGAGAGTATGAACGGCAAGAGACCCTTCGGATGGCGGGCGACTCTACCAACGAAGGATCCGCCAGACATGCTGAGCCCTATATCAATGAGATCGTGCCCGTCCGAGCTTCGGGTCCGCGCAGACGTCCGTTCGACCATGAAACTCGACGTGGGCGGTAGTCACCGAAAGAACAATCAATATAGATAAAAGAAAGTCTCCGGTTATGTCATGCAAGAGATATCCTTGATTTGTTTTTATTTTTTTTATTTTTTTCAAGCGTCTTATTCTACGCTGCCCTCGCTTTTAATGAGATTAGAATGATTGTTTGCATTTCGATATTCACATCATACATCTGTCGGAATAGCCATGTCTGTCTCTTAACGTTGAGCTGAAAGGGAGGGAGAGACAGATTGCTAATCTTCATCGTCCATACAGTCCGCTTTTCCTCCTTTGCCCAACCATTTTTACGTCAATCAAAAGCATTCCGACATGTCTCTCCTGCTGGTTTCAGCATCGTAGCTTAGATCTAGATAATAACATTCTCCTCTTGTTAGGTGTGTTCGCCCTAACCACGTTGTCATATGTTCTAGTTGTCTACTCTTGGTAGTTAGGGTTGCTGCTACCGAATCCCTCGACATGAAGCTCTAAGACGTTATAGTTGACCACGGCGCGCGGGCGGGGAGGGGGGATGTCAAGATGAAGAATTGTATAGATAGATGGATTAAGTAAAACCACCGGGTTATAATTCCACTCATCTCTATAGATCATTCGTAACAGCATAGACCAATCACAGGGAAAGCAGGTTTTGTATCATAGGAACAAATAGAAAAGGGGATCAGTCCGTTGCCCTCCCAATCCGCAAAAGAAGAAGAAATACTGTACTGCTCTTCCTTTCTTTTCCTCTTTCTTTTTGAGTGTCCCTCTTTTTTTTTTTTCTGTCGCTTCTCTCCTCTCCTTTTCGCTTGTTTCAACTCTCCCAGCAATGTAAGACTGAATCGATATTCTTTCAATCGAGATATTTTCTGAACAAAGGTTCACGACAGGAGGTGCCAACCAACTAGATCGGTGCAAGAGATTAAAAGACAATTGGAAAAGAAAGAGAACATGAAAAGTGGACCACCTGAACGCCAGCCTAATGCCACTCTGCTTGGTCCCATCACTGAAGAAGCCCGCAATCCGCGGGGGAATACTAAGCATGAACAGAACCAAAAAGAGAACGGTAAAAGACGAATTCTTGTTTTATAGCATAATGTGTATTTATTTTGCGACGGCCGCACTGGATTGATACCGAGATTAGTTGCCTGGTCAAGATAGGTAAAGTTTTTTTTGCAGAAAGTTTCAACGAACCTCAAGACTTGTGTCCGGAAGAATGCGCCCTTGGTCTTCTCAATAACCTGCTGGTACACCGACTGAGGGGGGTGGTTCATGATGACTGTGCCCTCCTTATAGTCAATCTTGGCATCGACTCTGGTGTCGCGGATGAGGTTGACAATCCACTTCTCACCCTCATCCTGGTTCAGGCCGAGACGGGTGGAAAGATCCCTGTATCACGTTAGTTCCCTTTCTATCCACCAAGATTGCAATAGTCGTTCTCAGTTACATACTTGATATCAATCCGTTGGTGGATCTTGCAGTAGCTCTCAGAGATAAGGTGGCGGGCAGCCTCGACGAAAGCATCGGCCGCAGAGACAAGGAAGAAGTCGCTCCGCAACACATCCTCGGCCTCACCCAGCTTCTTCTGGGCTTCCTCGAAATCGAAGTCGATGTACAAGGCCTTAACAAAGTCGGTGATGGGGTCGGAGTATTCGTAGCCCTCCTGGCGGACAACCCGGATGAGGTCCTTCAGCTGCTTCTGGTAGAGACTGCTGCTCTTGTGTGCACGGCCGCGGTTGGTGATAACAGCGGCAGCAAGGTACCGCAGGATCCAAGGGCAGTGGGTCTGAATGGTGTTGATGTAGGCAGGGGAGAAGAAAAGATCGGTCAGGACATCGCGGGCGGGATCGTAGTTGAAGAAGGGGAAAAGAGACCAGTGGATCAACCAGGAGCGGTTCTGGAGCTGACCCAAGGGGTTGTTGAATAGACGAGTTTCGATCGACTCCTTGACCTTCTGGACCTCCTCCATGGCAGCCTCCCAGCTGGTGGTCAGAATCTCGGAGGCAAGCTTACCCCATGTGGCCGAGGCAACCTTGTCGTTGTCGGTGGAAAGAACACGGAATTGGTACAGCAGCTCGGCAGCGTTACCGTAGCTACCGCAGCTGTACTGGAAGCGGCCATAGTCGAAAAGGCTGTTGACCATCTCGGTGGTAACGCCGTGCTGTTCCTCGAGGAACTTCAAGTTGGCAACCTTGTCACTCCGCAGGTTACCGACAACGTCCTCATCCTGAAGCAATTCGGTGATCTTGGCGCTCTCCTCCTGGTAGTGCTGCAACTTAGCGAGAACCTCCTCCCTCTTCTTGACAAACTCGTCGGGAATGGTGTCGGAGTTGTTGATTTCCTGCCACAGGTTGGCGACGTAGTCGGTCATGTTGGTGTGTTTAAGCAGCTCATATTTCGCCCGCACGGTCTCCTTGTCATCATCCTGGCCGGAGCTGAATTCGAGAAGAGGGAAAACAAGATGGCGGTCGAGGAAGGGGATCAACTTGGGTAGCAAATCATATTGGTTGGCGATCTCTTCAGCGGTCTTGGGGGGGTGAGCGGCGGCACCGCTGAGTAAAGTCTCTGCGGAAGGGGGAGCGTTGGCTGCCATGGTGAACGACTGACGACGGCGGCAGCGTCTCGAGGGAAGATAAGGAGGAAGGGGGGAAGAGGGCGTGGACCGGGGAAGCAGCGAGACGGTGCGATCTCTGACTGAAGTCAGTGTGCGGCGGTCTTCTCTGCTTTTGCGCTGGCGAAAATGTGGGCGGGAGGGCTGGCGGTCACGCTAGGCCCCGTTGGGGCTAGCGCGCAGTCTCCGCGCAAGAAATCGCTTTTCATGCAAAGATCGGAAGACACTCGATCCTCTCTTACAGCTGCTGCTGCTGCCGCGTCGTGCTATTCCCCTCAACCTTGGGTGATTCGGTGTTGATTGCCTGCCTCGGATTCAACGCCTTGGGAACTTCTCCTGTTGCTCTTCCCGTCCATAGATCTTTCCTGGACCGATGGCGTCTCTCCTACAGGCCCGTCCCGTCTGCTCGGCCGTTCGCAAGCAGTCGACGGTTCTACCTACCTATCTTCAAAATGCTTCGCAATCCATTGCTTCTACGTCAAGGACATGTAGCTCATTCTCTACACCATTTTCATCCTCTAGATTGATCAATTCTCGTAAGTAGTACAAGGCTTCCGCCTATTCCATGCCTGGTCCGGCCGAGGACAAGCTATCCCATCATAAAAGGGAGAAAAGAGAGAAACTTGAGCGTGCACAAGGAGAACCTTCAAAGGAAAGCTAACTGATTCGCTGCAGAACATTCCCTCCGGTCCCTCCAACGCTTCAATCCCCGCTCCGCCCCTACACAGCAATGCCGGACCTTCCTGGTACAATTAAAACGCCAGTCCCAGACCCTGAAAGAGAACACCCCTTCGACAACTACTCCCCTCCCATCATCAGCCAACTTGCAACTCACAAATCTTCCTTATTTCATTCGTCGCACTGCCTCGAACCAACTTCCAGTTTACCTGGTCACCAAGGCCGGCGGTACCAAGCAGCAGACCAAGATACAGAAGACCGAAGGTGACCTGGATGCTTTAAGGAACGACCTTGCACAGTATCTGGGCCTTGAATCCGGCGAGCCTCGCTCTCCCAAGAGTTCAGACATCACAATCAACCGTCTTAATGGACACATCATTGTCAAGGTACGCTTTTGCCATGTGTCCCCTAACCGAAGCGTCGTATGATGCTAACCTATGCACGCTGCAGGGCTGGCGAAAGCCTGAGATTCAGAAATTCCTTTTGGAGCGTAATTTTTAGAAGATGAAGAACAAAAAAGCCCTGGATATGAGTAATTCGCACGTTCCTCTCCATTGTCCTCCACTATCCGCTCGATCAACGACTTCCCTATCCATCTTCCAGGCAAAAGTTTGAACCAGAAGGTTATATGTCGAATCCACTACAGGGCATCCGGAAACTCAAGTCTGCCGAAATCAATCATATACAAGTGGAAAGTAGAATGGAGAGAATACCGGCAGCAGGCATCTGACTGAGAAGGTCTTTGCTCATCATCAGCTGAGGGTAGTCCCATTAACTTTCTACTGCACCCCTTTCCTTTTTCCTCTTATCTAGCTTTATTTGCTTTGTATTATCCTCCGTGCTGGGTGTTCTGTCGCATTTTCATTTTAGTTCGTGTCGTCGGAAGTTCGGCTTGTGTTCTGGCATGTTTTTGCGAATTTCTCACTTCCTGATCTCACCTCTCCATCTGCTTCGTGCCACTCTTCTGTATCTTTGTACATTTCAATGACTTCACGGTTGCTTTTGTGCTAAGTCTGTGGCTAATGTCGACGAATGGCTGGGTTCTCGTGGGCAGAGTATAGCATGCGCAAACAGAATAATTAGGTCTAGGCAGGAAATATGAATATGTCTCGATAGACACTGGTCTGGCATCTTTATATAACACATTAGTAGAAACCTGCACTTGCTGCATCATGCCCCAAGCGAGGGCATTTACAAAGCTCTCCATCCGCTGTCCGAACAGTCTTTTTACACCAAACAGACGATGAATAGCCCGGTCCGTAAGGGGAACTTGAGGACTAAGTAAACCGAAACGAGAAAAGGTAGGTAATAATGACCATGAAGTAAATTTACCCATTGAGACATCATGCATGATCTTTCGCCCGAGGGTATTGAGCATTGTACAGCGATAAGCAAAGATACACAAATCAAAAGGTCACGCCTCACGTATCTTCCCACCGGCGCCAGACAAAATCACAAGAATAAATGGTTTACTCAATAGAAGACATGACAGAAGTAAACATCAAGATGGCATATTGAAAGTGATGCTAGACATTCACCGACGCTATAAATAACCAAAAGAAAAACCAACCGCACATATTTTATCTAAGGCCAGGTCATTCTGCCAGTCGCGCATATGTTATCAGTTGTCGCACAACGCCAGGATCCACATTGTGCATGAGCAACGCCCCGAGTAGGCTCTCTTTCTTTGGGATGATCCCAGACGGGAACCGCAACGCCGAGTTTGAGTCCGCGTGTTTAGACTTCTCGGCCAGTCTCCTGAGAATGGCCAACCCTCGGTTAATGATGGAGCTATACGCAGCAGCTTCCGCTTCAGCCTGTCCTCTTGCAGCATGTGATTGACGGGGATTATTGTTGGTGGGAGGAACACGTTCGGTACTCAAGAGGCAGGAAAGTCGGAGGAGATGAATGGCAAATCCGTCAACCGATTCAAGCCATGATTTTGCAAGGTTACCGTCCGCAAACCCGGATAGGATGTCGGCGGCCAACAAGCCCTGCATAAGGAAAACTTTACGAGCATCCGCTATGGCTAACGGTTTCCGAGGCTGGTCGGGAACCGGGCAGATAGCAAGGCCAAAGGCACGGGTAAGCAATTCGTGCTGAGGGATGCCACTTCCGTCTCCGGAGAAGATTGCCTTGAAAAACGTCCGATTGGGCTCATCGCGCGCCAAAAGCTTGGCTAAGCTGTCTACCGCTGCCGGGGTATACTTATGGACGGAAGCACTGTAGGCGGCGAACATGACGCCATCCGGTCCCTGACTCGGTCCAGGGAATGGGGAAAATGACAGGAGAAAATGTAGGAGAGAGAGGGCTTCTTCTTTGCTCGGCAGTTGAATGGTGTGGGCCAGGTTACTCAGATATATGACTGTGTCCTTCATGAAATCGAGGGTATTCTGATTATTTCGTAAAAGCATGTTTCGAGTTCCCAAATAGCGGATGATAGTGGAGATGAATTGCACGACCGGTGGCGTTGAAAGTACCCCAAAGTTCGATTCGGTAAATGAAAAGTTGCGCAGTATCGTTGTGATACAGATGAGTCTATCAACAGCTCGGTCTAGATCATAATCGAGACTTCCAAATTCGGGAATATCGGCCAAGGATGTCCACTCTGACTGACAACCGCGAGTAACCTCCTCGTACGATGGAAGAAGCATGACATCTGACACCTCAGCAGCATGCTCAGCAAGGAATTCAGCTTGGTCTTCTGCACACTCAACCAAGCTGTCAACCAAATCCTCGCAGTTGTCCAGTGAGATTTGAATTGCCGGCTCACAGGATATGGTTGCAAGGGTATCTAAAGCCAGACGCATCTCCGCGTGTATCCCTGACTTGATACCCATTGTGAGAGCATGTATATCAATTACACCAAGTTCGGAGAAGGTGGGAACATTAGGCTTGAATCTCGCGATTTCTTCACTCAGTTGATAAATTTCATCCACCGCGACTGGACCATGGAGGTTACTTTCTGGCAAGACCATAGGCTTGAAAGGGTCCTCGATCGGATGCTTCAGAGGCTGGTCAGGATTCTGATCAAGCTGCTCGGACACCTTTCCGGACACTGAACCTGGACCTTTGGCAGATGGTGCTGGCGACTGACCCGGTTGTTGCCCAGTAGAGTCGTTAGGCGTTGCGGGGGGTTGAGATTGGCGAGAGACGCTGAGTCTATGCTGCTGCTGCTGCTGCTGCTGCTGCTGTTGTTGTTGTTGTTGCTGCTGTTGTTGTTGTTGTTGCAGTTGCTGCAGTTGCTGCAGTTGCTGCTGCTGCTGCTGCTTATTTGGCGCCTTCACTGGCGTAGGAGTAGCAAACCCATTAGGCACATTGCTAGGCATATTGTTTGGTACAGGTGCATTACTCGGAGACGGCTGCCCAAGTTGCTGCGAAGCCTCGAAATTTTGACTTGGTTTCACAGATGGCGACTGAAACTGCATGCCTGAGGGATCACTAGGTTGTCGTGGCAGCGAACTTTGCTGCATCTGATCCGCAAACTGTTTCTGCTGCGTGCTAAGGAAAGCTTGCTCATATGCAGCAAGGTTCCGCTGGTAGTGCTCTCGAATTTCTTGTACGGCCATCGGAAACTGCATCGGGGGATATTGAAGTTGCTGAGCTATTACCGGCCACATGTTCGTGGCGTTGATCTTCTTTGATCCACCCAGCTTCATAACGGTAGCATAAAGTTGCACTAAATTAATCGGGCGCCCACAGACAATGGGATTCGGATCCAGAGGTAGATTCCGTGACATCATGAATTTCTGTAACGACCTCATAAAACCTTCCGGATTGGGAGGTTTTGACATCGTCTGTTGCATCTGCCTGATAGCCGCCATTTGCTGAGGGTTGGCCATGGCATTCATACCAGCCGCCACCGGACGTCCAGCCAGAGCGGGGTTCATATTCATCGGACGGCCTTGGTTTTGCATTTGTATGGCGTGTATTCGCTGTTGCTGTTGTTGTTGTTGGGCAGCCATTGCCTGGTATCCCTGTGGCATGCCACTGAAGTGCGCTTGCATCGGTGCTTGCACACCAGCGGAGGTCATAGCGGTTGCAGGAGAAAACTGCCCTCCCATACCCTGGGGGAATGGTTGGCCAGGAATGAACGAGCTATTCTGCGGGGTGTTGACTCTACTTGGATGATCCGGCTGCGAGGGCGATACGTGGGGCCCAACATGAGGACCAGCGGGAGAGAATGGACTAGGAGACGCTGTTCCCATCCTTTGCACACCATGCTGGTCAAAGTCCTGGATAATCGGTGACTGACTAACATTTGGCGAGGCTCCTTGTTGAAGATGTTGGTACTGAGCAGGATGCGGGGCGAATTGTGTAGCGCCATTTGTCGGTCCTTGGTACCCTGGGAAAGGCACCTGGTGAGGCGTCTGCGATCGCGAGGCAGCTAGTCCACCTGGTGCCTGCCGGGGTGACATTGACATGCCATCCTCGGGGCGTGGTCGCTTGGACGGAATCACCTGGTTAGGATTGTGGAAACCGGGAGACGCATTTCGCGGCACGCCATTAAACATGCGCTGGAACTGGTTAGGATCGGGAGTGGGAGATGCATGGAGGAAGGCGGTGGAAGGATCTATAGTCGCCTGGTGAAAGGCACCATTATCATGGTTGGGGAGGTTCGAGGCGTCGGCTAGCCAGGCATTCATGTCGTGTGGTTTTACCAACCCATCTGCAAGGTGAAAACTGTCAGATTTATGACACAGAGAGTAGAGTATGGTTTCAATCATCAATAAGCATCGACAATAAATGCGATATTAAAGCCATCATAGTTCCAGGTAGAAAGACGATTAGCAGAAAATCGATCAATCGTCGTTTGAGAGTCCTAGACGCGTCAAGCCGAAGTGCGAGGCGAGTCGCGCCTTGGTCTGCGACACCGAACACACTACAGTCTGGACCGACATGGAAGTGAAGTAGAGGGTGAAAAGGGTAAGCTGGGGTAGGCAACTGTTTCTTTTTAGACAAAGGAACAGTAATGATGTACATACCGACAAGGCTGGACAACTAAAATGCCGACTCACAAGCGGAGGATGGAAAGCCGGTCCCGAAATGGTAGCGGTTGGAAGGCCTGAGGTAGGTTGCGAGGATGTGAGGTCACGGGACCATGGGCGCCGCAGGCAGAAAAAAGTACCTGGTGAAATAACGGACTGACGATCTGGGGACAGAAACCTTTAGCAAATAGGAGGAGGGGAGCTTCTAGACCAATACAAGAGTGTACAATAAATAAAATAAAATAGAATAAGAATAAGAATAAAAAATTATGGGTAAGCCATCAAACAATCAGAAGCTATCATTTGTAGCGTGCGTGATAGACCCGAAGAATGGAGAGACGGGTAGCAGTGCGTGGCCAGAATTGGTGCAGCGTGTGATAGGCAAAAAAAAAAAGGGTAAACCCAATAACTGAAGACAAGCGGGGGGAAGGAATGACATGACAGGCGTACCTGAATAAAGACTGCAATAGTCTGTAGGGCCGTGTTAAATGTTGTATTTTAATTTAGATTTTT